AAAAGAAAAAAAAAACCAAGAGACTACCGGTCCCTTTTTTGGAAAAAATTACACATTGAATGTCTGATCAGCTGACAGTGACTCGAATTACATCATCCAAATGATCCAGCATATCTCATTTGACTGATTTTGTATTGATCACAGCTGAACACTTCAAGCATATCACACACCAAAACTTCGATCAACTTAAACGACCATGACATTACAAGAAAATCAACATATCACTTTACCCTTGGTCAGCTGTAAATGGACCTACGATCAGGAAAAAACAATGATCGAGACGGCTGATCGGATGCAGAGTGCCAACAAGTCCTTTCGCAACGAGTACATATGGAATAACTGGCAGTTCAAATATGTTTCTTGGGCTTTGGAGGGAACTGAAGGATCGACTAAATTTAAGACCGTTAAGATGTGTCACTCACATTGGGATAAAGTGAGTTTAATTTGTTTGATCAAATCTTTTGTTAATTGATATCTTGCTTTCCCTCGTTCTTCTCTCAAGTTGCATAGAAGGTACAAGGATGTCAAGCTATTACAGATGAAGAGGGGTGCTCGTTGGAATGATGAGTCGAGTATGATTGAGCTTCCAATGGAACAATGGAATGAATTGACCAGTATGCCTGTAAGTTGAACTTGTATCGTTTCTTTTCTTAAGATCACTTCTTGACTTGAATTGAATTGTAGACCTCCACCAACAAGCGCTTAGGATGGTTTCGAAAGGGGCGATTCCCGCTTTACCACGCGTTTGGTGCTATTGTTGATCGACAAATGGCAAGGGACAACGTCCGGCTCAATGCCTTTGCTCCTGCTGATCGCTGTGAGACGACTGACATTGACCAACTCGAAAGGACTTCAAGTGAACATTTGAAAAGTCTGTCATCCGATCAAAGCAATCAAGAACTGCGACAAGAAAAGCTAGGATCCGAAACAGCTCATGATTTGTCTATAAGCTTGATGGCTGATTCTTCAATCTTAAGCAACAAATCCACTAAGAAAAGAAAATTTGTCAAGGAGAAATCGGCTTCAAATGAAGATGTTCAAGGAAGATTGACTTCAGCTGTCTCGACCATAAGATCATCAGAATCAGTAAGGAAGAATCCTCGCAAGTCAACTGCTCAATTGTTTATTGATTCAATGGAATCTATGCAAGACATATTCCTTAATAAAATGAATGTGGATCTTACTGCATCTCCATCAGGAAGCATGAAAGCACCTTTAGAGTATGTGGCGATGGCTGTTGATTTATTACAAAAAATGAAAAATCTAGATACAGAATTATTGTTCAAAGCATTAGATCTATTCAAAGACCAACAGGAGTATGCTGCAATGTTTGTAGGCCTTCAAAATCAAGACTTGCGAATTGATTGGCTAAAGTATAAACTTGAACGTCTTTGGTCAGTTTATCTTAGAGTTTAATCTCAGAAATCCGAACTTGATTGATATTGATCTTATGCATGTTCATTTTCTTCTGTATTTTTTTCTTAACACTTTATCAAAATCAATCAGAAGGACATTTTTCCTCCTATGTATCGATATTTTCACGTTGTACCTAGTCAAATGATTCACATCCTGAATGATCCACTTCAGATATGTGATTTTATGAATGTAGATTTGAGATGTATGCTTCAATTAAACAAGTTTGAACCTTGGATTTTGGATGTGCGGCTTATTAGTTTGGACCAGGGATGCAGGAGTGAGTATGAGTTTACTCAATAAAGTGAGTATTATTGAGTATACTGAGTATTTTTGCCTATTTTTGGCCCTGTAAACCCGTACAAAGTGAGTATCAGTTGAGTATATACTCATACTCGGTACTCATTCCTGCATCCCTGGTTTGGACATTGATTTTATCAAGCAGGTATGTAGGATCCCCCAAATCCCCCTGGTATGGAGAAATAAGCTGACCCAGCCTTAGCGAAGACTTGTGATCCAAAAGTACAAGACACAACAAGCATGCGAGTCAAGTCTGAGCTAGCAAGATAGCTACATCTTGAGATGTACACGAACCCCGTGTACAGTCGAGAGAACATTCTCGTCGGAGGCAGACGCCTGCCCTACTCAGTGTCGTGCAATGGCTCCAACGTGTCTATAGCGCTAGATCTAGAGAGCTCGAGCCTACAATTTACTTCCCCATTGCTTTGAATCTGATTGTCACCCGTCTCTGACTTACCCCCAAATGCCGTGTGCGGGTGCCCCCTAATACCCATGTACGGATGTGTACCACGAGGAAGTGCGCGCCTACCTTGGAAGTATAATTCGACAGCAATATCACCTAATCTGTTTCCGGTGCCGATAACGGCTTGACATGTGGATTGATTGACAAATATCGTCTTGAGTCTCGAGAGATCGACAACCAAGGTGCCTTTTGCTCCTCCTGAACCAGAAGCGGCGTACGAATGTCCACCGAAGCGAGCTGAGACTATGAGAAGAAAGAAAAAAATGAGTTCTGTTGAAGTAGTTCATGAGTATTTGGTGTAATATGAGCTCACCTTGAAGCTTTTCTTGGAAAGCTGCTATAACGGACCACAAGACACCTTGAGTGCTGTTGGGGAAGACGATGGAAGCTCGGATATAACTCAGACGTTTTTTGCAAGGTGTAGCCAATTCATCATAAGACAAGTCTCCTGGAAAGACAGCATTGTTTGTCCACCTGGAAAAATAGGCTTGCAAAGAAGCAGTATCTGCTCCAAGAAAACATAATACTCTCAAGGCGCACGAGGCGGGAAGAAAAGACCTCAGCATCGTTCTGAGGAATTTTAGGAGGAGATCTTGGATGCAGTGATTTGATCAGGGAGGTGGCAATAGGATGACAATCAAAAGGCAAGTTCCATAGAGGAAATGCAAAGGTGGCTGCTTTATATCTCAGATCCGGCTGTGATGATTTGTTAAACAGGATCAGAAGCCTTAATTTTCTCTTTCCAATCCTTTAATGTCTTTTCATTGTCTGTATCAGGTTGTGAGAACACCTTTATCATTGGGGAGCTGCTACAATCCTTCAACTCAAATCCCATTGTTTGCATTGTTGCATTGAGGGTAGGTTGACCCCAGCTCTGGACAAGTGTGCCCCGCCCCCAAGTGTCCAGACCCAAACGGGCATGCTTGAATCCATCGAGGGTTTTCCAGGGCACGCTCTCATTCTTAGACAGTGCCCGCCTCCTGACAATGGACACACAAATTCTCGCGTTTGCCGAAGGGGTGTTTTTCGTCAAGGCTGAGCATGCTACCACACCCGACTCTCTGGTTTTTCTTTTGACTGGAACCAACTTCGACAAGCAGCACAAGAAAGTATGAGCGAATTTTTCAATTCGGTTTGGACTTTGAAGTGCCACGTAGGTTTTTGACCTTTTTTTCAAAAAAAAGACAGTTGATCCCTGATCAGCTGATTCGAAATTACCTAATCAAATCCATCATATGTCATTTAACCGGTTATATCGGCCACAGATAACCATTCCAATGATATCACAACCCATAACTTCCATCACCTCCTACAATAATGACCTTACAAGAAAATCAAAATGTTAGTCCACCAGTCTCGGCCCGATGTGAATGGACCTTCGATCAGGAAAAAACGATGGTAGAGATGCTTGACCACTCTCAAAGCGCCAACAAGCATCACAATGGCTTTATTGGGCTCATTTGGAATATCATTGCGACCACTTTGAAAGGGACCGAAGGCTCGAGTAAAGTCAAAACCGGTGATATGTGTCACTCACATTGGAATGTAGTAAGTTCTGATTCTTGTATCAGATCTATTGTTGACTGATGGCTTGATTTATATCGTCTTTTTGTCAAGTTGTCTAGACGGTACAAGGATGCGAAGCAATTGGTGGATGAGAATGGCGCCAGTTGGAACAATGAGACGAATATGATCGAGCTTTCAGGGGAAAGATGGACTCAAATAATCACCATTCCTGTAAGCTGAGCTTGTTTCGTTTCTGTTCTTGTGTTACTTCTGTTCTTGACTTTGATTTTAGACCAGTACCAACAAGCGCTTGGGATGGTTTCGAGGGAAGTCATTCCCACTGTACGACGCCGTTGGTGCCGTTGTTGAAGCAACGCCAATTCACATTCCCTTTGCTCCGGGTGATCGTCTTGCGAGGTACTTGTTGGAACACGAGCTATCAAGCAAATCCCCAAGTGAACATTCGATCAGTTACTCTTCCGACGAAAGTGATCAAGAGGTGATACAAGTAAAGCTTGAATCCGACTCACCCCACTCTTTATCTACGAGCTCGATGGCCGATTCTTCAATCTCAAGCAACAAATCCGCGAAGAAAAGAAAAGTTAGAGAAGATGAATCAGCCCCAAATGACGATGATCGAGAAAGATCAAACTCAATCGTCTCATCTGTGCGATCATCAGGACCAGCACGAAACAAGCCTCCCAAGTCAACTGCGCAACTATTCATTGATTCGATGAACTCTATGCAAGACAAATTCATGAATCAAATCAAAGCCGAACAGACTGCATCAACATCAGGAAATGTTACCAGATCCTTAGATTATTTAGTATTGGCTGTTCGCGTGATACGGAAAATGAAGAATATAGATAGGGGTTTTTTGTTCAAAGCACTAGATTTGTTCAAAGACCAGCCTCAAACTGCTAAGATATTTGTCATTCTTGAAAGCGAAGAATTGAGAATTGGATGGCTGAAGTATCAGTTTGAAAAACTTTGGTGAGCGTTTCTCGATAATATTTTGTTTTCCAAACTTTAATACTGATCTTCATATGGACTCTATGCGTTTAGATTTTACTTACCTTTTTTACTGTAAATGTTACGAACATCAAAAGTACATCTTTGATGCAACCGTAAGTGATATATAGTCGAGCGCTTCACATTTTCAATAGTAGACTTTACCTGTACAATGTTATAAATGCAACCTATTTTCTTATATCTTCTCTCACCTCTTTAAACCGATTTTGATGACACAATCATTGATGAAGTTTGACATGAAAATGTATCGTGTTATGTTCTTCCAAATGGACCGTGTCTGATACATTGTTGCTTCATGCCTTGCCGAATCTTGGTATTGTATTTCTAATAGTCATTTCATTGTACCTTCCTTTAGAATAGCTTTGCATAATGTATTGCTATATCTCTCTTCATCATTGACAATTGCTCAAGGTGTGGGTTAGTAATAGTCATTGACTGGTAAGCAAAGATATCCAATTGCTCGTCCCTGGTATCAACACACAAGTGCGCCACAGGAGTTCCGTCATAAGTATAGTCTGCTCCTCCCCGCTCGACCAAATACCGCTCCAAAATCGAAGATACTGTTGAAATCGTGAGATTTTCAATCTCAGACGTTTGATGAGAGTAAAAACTATCTCGCTTTCTTCTTACCCCGTACGTATCTTACTCATGCGTCTATCAGCAGGCACACATCATGAAAAGCGGGAAGCGAACAGTGAAGTCGGATGATCAGGGATCCATCTCTGAACATGGGGTCTCCCTCACGTATAGACGTTAGAGCTCCAGGGAGGAGGCGTTGTGTCTTTGCTTGTGGTTTAGAATTAAGGGGGCTCAAGTCAAAAAATTTGCGGCCTTTTCTTGAAAAATTGGGGAAAGCCTTTTACGGTACCGTGCTGTAAAAACTTTTCCCAATTCGTAAAAAGGGACGTAAAATTTCTTTCGGATCTCCTTCTGAGCAGCAGATTACACAA